CGAAACGACAACAAATTAGTGACAGAAGACATGTCAAAGAGTGTACAACAAGGTGTGCGGGGCACAGACTAGGAAGGCATTAAATGAAGGCGCCCACGCATCCTCAGTGGCAAACATATGAGTATAGAGTGAACATGAAAAATACCCTCGTCAGGTCAGAGGACAGACCTCAGCAAATCCATCATTTCTACAGAAGGTAAGCTGTTCTCAAATGATGCTCAGAAATCCCAAAGCCAGAAGGTGCTGTGATTTAGCCTGACCTACAACATTAACGCAGTCCTTTTTCTAACACAGTAGTCAACAAAAATTAAAACCATAACAAAACAGAACTGATGAAAAGATGTTAGGAAGAAATGTTTTCCTGTGCGGGGGGTGAGGCAGTGGCCCAGGTTGCCCAGAGAAGCTGTGGATGCCCCATCCCTGGAGGGGTTCAAGGCCAGGCTGGATGAGGCTTTGGGCAACCTGGGCTAGTGGGAGGTGTCCCTGCCCATGGCAGGGGGTTGGAACTCGATGACCTTGAAGATTCCTTCCAACCCAAACTGTTCTATGATTCTATGAAAAACAAGACTGTTGACTAAATCTGCAGGGACCAAAAGGCTAAATTCTAGTCTGGGAACGTTAACAAAGGACACAGTTCCACATGACACTTAGTCTGACCTATCTACCAGTTGCCTACCTTGTGCTGAACCTAACAAACCAACCAGCTGCACAGCAACAGCAAATGGCTGTCGGAGGGCAGCCAGCTCCCATCGGTCAAGCAAGGCGATCCCACTCATCTGGTGGCAGCCACACATCCCTGTCACCCACTGAGCAACCGTGCTGATTAAATCTGACATTGAACTACACTCTTAAGAAATGCTTTAATCTCTAATAATGAGAATCTTTCTCTAAAAACAGAGAAGTATATGCCTACAAAGGCATTTTTATCTTAAAAGTAGGATATAGAATAGCCTGATATAGGCATTTTCAGCATGAACTTTGTACATATTTCTGGATGTTAGCATAGCCTCCCATTTCTTATAATAGGCACCAAAGTTGCATTACCTCAGAGCAGCATTAACATAGATCAAGTATCACCCGATAATCAATAATTAACAAGGAGAATTTGCCCACAGCAGGGGGGTTGGAACTAGATGATCTCTAAGGTCCCTTCCAACCCAAACCACTCTATGATTCTATGAGTCATTACTGTTTTTCCCCTACAAACTAGAAGTATGCAAGTATTTAAATATTTTCTATAAAAGTGAAGTCCACGCACAAAAGAAACCCCATATCATAGACTACAGAAGATACAACTGAAGCTACCAATTAGCATCAGTCAGGCAAGGTACTGCAATTTGAAAAACTTGGAGTCATAAAAGCAGCCAATAAACTGTTGAAATACAAGTCTAGGTAGCAGAACAGATCTTATCCTAATGGAAATTTAGTCATTGTATTAAGTGAAGAAGTTTTACCCACCAAAATTATCGTTAGCCTGCTCGTTAGCTCCAGTTACATAATATCATTTGTTAAGGTACTCTAAAAAGATGTTCATTAAAAATTTTATTTGACTCATTTTAGGAACACAAAATAAACCAAGCTTCCACATGTTCACACAAGCTTAGAGGTCTTCAGTAATATTTCATGCATTAAAAAAACTAGCTTTTCAGTACAGTATTTCACTCATACAGCAAGAGGAAATAGTTAAGAAGATCGAACCATTAATACATTGTTTATAAATCACATCCAAGTAAAACACCTGCAGTTTAAAATGGCAGGAATATGCCATGCCATATTGGATGCTCCTATATTATACTCTCAAAAATCAGGAACTTCAGCAATTACAGCATAGAATAATCCAGCCCCAGGGAATGGGCTCTTCTCCAATTATGTTGAGCCCTAACTCAGCCCTATACACACAGCAACCCCAGCCAGCAACCAAAGGAGAGGGGAGCAAGGAGGAGGCTGCAGACAGCACACTACAGTGACAAGGAGTTTAAGGTGCCAGCACGGGGAGGGGTCAAGGAGGCAGCAGGAACCAGTGTCCCACAACACCAGACAGCACAAGTGAGACAAGCCAGCTCCCTGGCAGAGCCATGCCGACCTGACAGGTTAGCAACTCTCCTGTGTTCCCATCGGCTTTGTTGCTTGGACAGCAACACTGCTCTGTCTCCTCTGCCCACAGCTGCAGCTCCAAGCATCCCTCAGAGCCGTGCACAGCACCCAGACGGTCAGGCAGTGGCAGCTGCCTAAAATGCTGTTGTCCTCCTACTGCTCTCACTACACCCACAGTCTGGAGCAGGTCCTCACCAATGACAATGCCCTTGCTCCCATTTGTGGGTGTCCAGACTACAAAGCAAGCATGCCACTCCTCTGTTAAAGGCAATGTGGGCTTCTGCCTCCATGGCTATGACTGGAGGAAGGTTATTAATCATTTTCTCTCAAGAGCCCTGAAAGTACAGAGTTGTGCCTCTTAGCCCACACAGACTGATTCCATTTGTCAGGAGCTCCATTCTGGGGAGCGTATGACACGGATTTAGAGGCATCAACTAAATACTGCTCAGGAAGAGTTAATGAAAAGGTCAGATCACACCAGACTGAAAACAAGTGATAACAACAGGGGGTTACAGAGTTATGCCTCTTAGCCCACACAGACTGGAGCTCCATTCTGGGGAGCGTATGACACGGATTTAGAGGCATCAACTAAATACTGCTCAGGAAGGGTTAATGAAAAGGTCAGATCACACCAGACTGAAAACAAGTGATAACAACAGGGGGTCAAATGCTACTAAACTTCCTAGTAACATAACGCACACTTCAGTAGACTGAAGTCTTCCAGTCTTCCAAAGTGACTTCTGAATAGCCAGCATACGTTATGACAATAAAAGCAAAAAAGCTCAGAACATTAAAGCCCACTTTCCAATTTTCTACTGTAAAACCTTTTGGTACTCCTCTCCTATATCACACACCAGAGTATCAGAGCCACTTGCTTCACTGAGAAACTAAATCCACGGTATTTCCTTCAGCTATTATCCAAGTATCCATGTGACAAGCCACCTTGGAATCACTTTCCACTAAACTATGAGCCTTCCCACCTGCTGTTACTTTCATCAGCCACATCCTCTACCTGCAGGCTTCCTCTAAACCACATCCTTAGAAGAAAAAAAAAAAAAACTACATATGCAAATAAAGGCCTGGGAAAAATGCTTCTGGACCAAGTTAGTCAGTGTGATTTCAAACACCAATCACCATCAGCAAGGTTACTCACTCTGGAGTGCTGTTAACAGGTGAAGGTGGAAGCTCAGGGAACATCAGGCTGCAGATCAACTTAAAGGCATTAGTTTTGTTTTCTAACAGCTATTTTGAGCATTCCTTAAAAAGACAACACCATTGAACTGATAATTCAGGAAACACCAGGTCATAAACTATCCAGAGCACAACATAGTGCACACCACTCCTGGCTTATGGAAAGCCAAACAAATGACATTAGAGCTGAATAAGATGCGTTTCACATGTTAGCAATTTAGCTTATTACTTAGCAGCATGTAGATGTTTTCTAACACTACAGGATTAATAGCAAAGACGAGATCTGGATTTTTAACGCTACTTGTCCTAGAAAAGGACGTTAAGAACCTCAAACACCATTACAACAGCAGTCTAGCTCTTCTGGCCCCAATTACCACCTCAAAAGAAGAGCCAGAGGAGAAGCCACACAACTTTTCGATAACTGATTGACTGGGAACAAACACCCAAGATCATTCTAGGTGTCTCAACATGTACCAAGAATAGCTTCCATCCCCAAAATTACTCTTAACTACACCGTACATGTGGGATTATTCTCTGACACTACATACGTTAGTTCTCAACACCACAAGAAACCACAGGGTTTTGGTCAAAGCAAACCTGTTGCCTGGCTTACCTTTCAAACAGTGAAGCTTGCTAAATAGGACAGTTTACAATGAGTGAATGCTTTACCTCCAAGCAGCCCAGCTTAAGATTGTTAGCTCAGTCTATCCACGATCAGAAAAGGTGAACTGAAGCTTTAGCCACATTCTGGTAAGATTTCACAGCCATTTAATACTCTACAAATACATGCGTTTGTCTTTTTCAGCCAAGCTGAAACAAACATCTAAAGCTGAAAGCAATGTCTTAACAGTGTCTCCTTGTGTTGCACATGTTATTTTGTACAAAGAACAGCTTCCTGTGTCAGTATCAGTTGTTCCAATAAATGACCTAAGGCTACATAATTTGATCCACAACAATTTAACAATTACAGTGTTTTTATCAAAGGACAGTTCTGAGATTTTCAAAATACCAACATTCCCTAACATTTCAAGTATATCAACTGCCTTTTGAAAGCCCTGGGTAAAACACTGCTCCTGGGGAAAAATTAAACGTGACATGGTCAGTGCTCTACAGCAGAAAATTAAATATTTTTCATTTGAACATTTGCATGTCAAGCATTTAAACTGCTGTGAAGACTTTAGACACATGAGTTTCCAAGAGCTGTTCATTTCCAGCTGACTATATCCAAGTCATGACATTTAACAATACAAAACCCTTCTAACTTCTGTCCCAATAAAGGCTGACAAATAGCGTCATCAGTGTCTGCTGAAAATTCACGCTTTACAAGCACGCTACTAACCCACACAGTCTCTCATAAGTCATCTATTTTGTACTGGAAAAATTCATCAGAATAATTCTCAATGCATCAATTTAACGATGCCTACTGTAACATCTGGAAAAGGCTTATTAAAGGATACAGAGCACGTACATACATAAATATTTATGCATTCTTCAAACTAGAAAGTTTCAGGCTACCAACACAAAAATATCTGAATATTTTGAGCAACATTCAAGAATATCTTTAAAGGTGCCTACATTTTTGGATACATGAACCACTTAACCAACATCTATTAAATGCCAGGTTTCACATGCAGAAAGCACCATATGCAAGTCAGATATGAAAGGTCAGACCACGAACCTATTTAGCCAAGCTACCTGTCTAACAGCAGTCTATTTGGGAGGAGCGAGAGTAAAACAACACTGAATTCTGACAGCTTCCTTCAGCCAGCGTTTTAGGGACTTCCTCCCAGAAAGTACATCCAGAATGCAGTCTCCGCAATTCACTTTTGCCTTCTGCTAATTTGTCTAATCATATTTCAAACCAATTTGTGTTCAAGACATCCCATGACAAGGAAGTCTCAATATAATTATATACTAGGTAACAATGAACTCTCACAATATAATTACACATTACAGGAAAGCATCCTTCAGCTACCACCTCAGTAATTCCATAACGTACCACCCATAGCAGCATTCCCACCTCCAGTGTCATCCTGGCTGCAGAGACTTCCCCAGTATTGTTCCTCAAAGAGTGCTCCCCACTGAGCCACCCCTCTGACTTATGTATTGCCTCTTAACTGCATGAAACTGCATGAAAAGCTGGGAGCAGATCCACACTGAACTACACCATATGTTGCCTAGTTATGTTAATTGAACAGGAACAGTTTCACTGGGGTTTAGCCATTAAAAAAAAAAAATTATGATTTGCATACACAAATACACATCTCAACTGTCTTACTGTTCATGGCAGGATCCCAGGGCTACGTTTCGCCATTCCCAAGTAGTCCAGGTTAATTTTGACATCTAGAACAAGGTTCAGGAAGAGAAAAAAAAATTGTCACACACGTTTGCACACTATTATTCACTGTAGATGCTATTTTAAAGAACTGCAGGGTACAGCATCTCCAACTGAGTTAACTATTGGCTTCTGCAGCTCTTTGAGCTCTATCTCCACTATGAGTGGAAAATTGGATAGCCCCACTTCTTGCCTGGAGGAAGAGTTCACATCACTCACTACAAATTTCTGGTATCCTACTCTTTTCCATACACAGAGTATTTCATACACAATTCTGCAAGACCACAGCTTTAAATAAAAATCAATTTAAACAAGAGTGTGGAAGAAAAAAAAGCCAAAGCTAATTTTTGCTTTTTGAACTAGTCAGTCTCTGTATATCTCAGAAGTAGAGCCACCATTTCATGTAAATCACTACATGCATGCAAGTCACAGGGAGTACAGAAGTCCTAACAGAATAGTACTTTGCATGATGATACTAGGCTAAGCATGCTTTTCATAAATTCAACCCATAGTTGCTATCATAGCAGGAAACTATCTGACCGGGATTGCAGAAAGAACACCAGTCACCGAGTTGAAACAGCACAAAGTCACAGCGAAAGGTTTCACAGCCATTGGGAAGTCATCTTGCTGCCTGGAATGAACAACTGGAGAGCAGGAGCTGGGAAGAGACCCTGCTTTCCTTTTTAATGCTGAAAAGATAGCATGTCCAATTGAAAAGGAAAAAAGTAGCCAGTTACCCCAAAGTGCAAAGAGCAATTAGCAGTATTGTCATTTTCAATGGCAGTTATTTTTTTTATCCATGCTAACATAAAGCAGAGCGAGGAAATGCTGGCAACCATGTTGCCAGTTTTGTTTCCTCTGCATTTCCTCTCAGAAAATAAAGAATTGAAACGTTAAACTTGGCAACTCGTATTCTCACACTCAGCACCAAAAAGTGAGGGTCACTTCTACAATTCAATGAACAAACATTTTTTTTCAACTACAAGTCTTTGCCAACCTGAAGTTATTCAATCCAGTCAAAGCAATAAAACAATACTAACAACAAAATCACACAGGAAACCACAAGCTAACCAGCAGCAACAGATAAGAAGCACTATGGGACGGTCAAACTTCGTAACCAAAACAAAGGAGCTACCTGAAGATTAGAGAGGCTATTGCAATCTTATTTCATTAAGCTTTCTTCCTTTGGATACTCCTCCTTAAAATGCACCAAACTATTTTGCCTTTTATAGAGGCACATCTATGCACGACAGCCATCAGAAAGAACCATGTTCCTGAACTAAAATATTAATGGGTCAGGAATTACACACACAGTTCATCAGGAAGCCTCTTACACAGGTCATTTTGAAGAAAGACAGAAAGGCAAGAAGTTAGAAAGTATTTTGTGGTGGCAAGAAGCCCTCTAAAACTGGGTGTGGGACACCATCCCCTACCAGAGCATTTTCCATAACCTGTGTCTCTGCAAAGCCGTGGCAGGCTGCTCCAGCGACACACAGGCGTCACAGTGAAGGGCCTTATGAAAGACTCTCAGTAATGAAAATCTCGAACAATGTCAGACTTGTTAGACACATCTGGGACAGCAGTGAAACAATAAAGTCAATACAAAGATAGTGGTTTTGCCTCCAACTCACTCATTTTTTCCTCCTCCTCCCATTTCTTTTTCCACCATTATTTATTCTTGGCTCCACGTTCGGGACTGTAAAGTGTTACCATGCAACCTCTTATCTTGCACACTCTCATTTTCTGGCCCAACTCCCTCCTACCATTAATTTTACTAATGAATAAACAGTAATGGGAGCTGGGTATAACCATAGTGTGGACCTTCCTGGACACACACAGGGAAGACAGGACACTTGCACAGCAATACAGCAAACCCACCCCACGCCCCATGGTACCCGCCAGCCTGGCAGCACTGTGGGAAGAGGGCCGGCACTACTGCCACCCCCTGCAGCCCCATGCACCTTGGCTAAATGTAACCACTTCTTCTTTCACTCCACGCCAGCAGATCACTACAGCCAAAACAGAAAATATTCTCCATGAAGATGATGAACTGGGATTCTCTTACTTCACCCATCATAACCACGTTATTTGCAGGGGAGAAGCCACATTTCTGCCTGTCAAGCAGCCTTTTAGCTCTTGAACCTCTGCCCTGGGTTTGGATCTCCTCCTCTAGATACAGCTGTGCTGGGGAAATGCTCAGCACCCTCAGCTGCTTGTCACTGCTCTCTGCCAGAAGGCTACCAGCTGAGCTGCTCTTAAGTACCTTCTAACCTATTTATAATCTAACCTGTTTAGGATCAGCCACTACAAAGAGTGATTATTTAGGCTGTGTAAACCACCTCAGCTTATTTTGGTTGGCATTCTGCAGAAAAGCTCACATAATTGTCTCAGCTGTCAGAGTTAAGGTTTACAGCCCCCTCACTGAAATATTTACTCCTTCTACAAACTGGGAATCATGGCTAACAGTAAAACCAGACAAGAAACCCCTGCCAGCATCCCAAAAGAAACTAGGGCTCTTGGCACACTCATCACCAGCCAAGGAATGAATTTTAAGAGGTGGGCAAGTCTTGCTTACATTTGCTCAGCCGTTTCCAGGGAAGTAATTTCCCCTAGCTCTCAGAGAAGATATAACTCACAGGTACAGCCACACGAACACCTATAGTAACACAGCATGCAAGCCTTTCCCCTTACCAACAAGAGATGCTGGTAAATTCTATCCAGTTGCCTTAGGGCTACAAGTTTTGAAAGAGAAAAATGCTACCACCACAGGCTAAAGTTAGACTACATGCTTACTAAGATCTTGCCTACGATGTTAACTGTTTTGGTACTCCGCTGTACTCACTCCACCCACCACCACATAGAAACCCCACAAAAATAACAGGTGAAAGACTACAGCAGCATAACAAGTTTTAGGAACAGAAACTGCCTTTTTGGTCTGCGCATGTGAAGCACTATCACACCAAGGTCTTGGTCCATCACCGTGGCTCCTAAATAGTACCATCAATTTTACAGGGAAAAAAATTTAAGATAGACTAGATAAGATAGTATTAACATAAGTCAGATGTACTCATCAAAAGCTATACAGTATAGTTTTTCATTAGTGATTAAAATTTTATTTAAAAAAGAGTTAAGTATGAAATCCTAAAATTTAATATCAACCAAAAATAGCAAACTTTCTAGAAGTCCACGGAATCAGGTATATAGATCAGCAAGACCATTTTATTAATAAATTTAAAAAAAAAGGAATTGTGGTAGAAAAAATAAACACCTCTGGGTCTCTATCTTCCTGCTAAAAGGAGATGCTACTGGAGTTGTATCATGGTCCATCTAGAGCCTCACTGCAAACTCCTCCATGTATTCAACTGTACATTAAGACAAGCTACTAAATCATTCCCAAAAAAGATTAGCCTACTTGCAAAGATACAAGCCAGGCTTTCTCATATCAAGCAAAACCTTCAACATCACTAAGGTAACTGGTTTAGCTAATGACATTTCCACCAACACCAAGATAGCTGATAACATGATCAGCTCATCACTGCTCTCAGGGCAAAGCTATGGTACCAAGTCTCACCTGGATTACAAAACTTCCTACATTAGCCCTTCTGCCGTTAAAGACGTCTGTTTTATACTGCCCAAGTCTAATCAAGAACAGAGACAGTGAATGCTTACTCATTTGCCGTTGCTCCTCTGTGACAAATGTGAGCAGCCACAAGAGGCTGGTCTGATTTGCATAGCCACTGCGGGACAATGTAAGGCAACTCAAGCAATCTAGTAAATTCAGATTCAATTTTGCTGAATTACCTAGATTTATCCTTTGATTCTTTTGTAGCTCAAGTGTTTAATTCATGATTTCCAGTTTGAAGGTGTAAGCTTGCAAAGTCTTTAGTTTATACAAAATATATCTCATAGGGCATATACCCTGATGAAAATACTTTAATTCCACTGTACAAAAATAAGCTTAGAATAGCAAACACAAGAGCCCAGCTTAAATTTCTAGATATAACAACATCACTGTTCAATTACAAATTCAACATTAAAGAGAACAAAACTGTTTACATTCTGCTCCTGTTAAGAGCTTCCAGCATGAACAGGCAATAAAATACAGTTGTTAAAAAGTTACAGCAACACAACCACATATGTATTTTGTAACCTCTAATCGCTACTACTGAAAGTTTCTGACTAGCAGTGAGCAGAAAGATGATCAGGGAGGAGGCAGCAGGGATAAACTATAAATTCAAGTCTTCTACAACTCTGGCCCACATGGCAGATAATCAACTTCTAAAAAAATACATATACAGAATACATGCCAACGTCTGTAGGATCCTAGTGCCACTCACGGCTTTCTTTAAATAACGGATGTGCTACTCACTTCCTCTGTTCTATTCAAAATCTGTGGGCAGCCATGAACTCACCCAGAACCATGCCTCTTTCGTAACACCGAAGCTACTTGAGAGTCAGGCACTGAGAAGCCAAGTTGACAAGGCAGAAGAGAAACCCATTTCTCCCTCTCGGCTTCCTTCAGGAGCCAGGTAACATCCGTGAGCAGGATGCAGGGCCACTGTTTTGACTTCACCCGAGTCAAGACAAAAGCTTTCCCCCGACCTCACTGTAGTGCAGAATTCACGCTTCCATGTAAAGATTTTACTGAAAGCATGAATTGATGTGAATCATTCAGCTCCTACACAGGTGGAAAGCTAGCTGGAGAACAGCAATCCCAGGAACATCTCTTTACAGGCATCTGGAAAGATGAGTAGTTTGCAGTGGGAGCACTGCCTGGGTCCTGCAGCGCTGAGTTTGATGCTCCATCCCCAGCATCTGCTGGGAAAAGCAGTCCTGCTTCCCCTCCACTCACCTCCATCCCTGCCTCTACCTGTGAGAGCAATAGCAAGGTGTAGCCACAGGGTGAGCTATCAAACTGATAAAAACGTTACTGAGTGGGTTAGTTTCCCATGAGATAAACAGCATGAAAGGAATCACCCTGCAATCACACAAGCACTAGCTCTGCCAA